TATCAACATATCCATCACCTCACATACATATCATTTGTGTGTGTGTGTGTGTGTGTGTGGTGAGAACATTTAAGATCTACTCTCTTAGCAAAATTTCAAGTATACAATATAGCATTATTAACTATAGTCACCATGCTATACATTAGCTCTCCAGAACTTATTCATGTTGCATAACTCAAACTTTGTACCCTTTGACCAACATCTCCCCACTTCCCCCACCCTCCAACCCCTGGCAACCACCATTATACTCTCTGGTTCTATGAGTTTGATTTTTTTAGAGTTCACATATAGGTGAGATCATGCAGTATTTGTCTTTCTGTGTCCGGCTTATTTCACTTAGCACAATGTCCTCCAAGTTCATCCATGTTGCAGTGTGTGACAGAATTTCCTTCTTTTTTTTTCTGTTTTGTTGTTGTTGTTAAGACTTTTTTAGAGCAGTTTAAGGTTCAAGCAAAAGGTTCACAGCAAAATTGAGGGGAAGGTACAGAGATTTCCCATATACTCCCTGCCCAACACATGCATAGCCTCCCCCATTATCAACATCGTCCACCAGAGTGCTACATTTGTTACAACTGATGAACCTACATTGACACATCATAATCATCCAAAGTCTATAGTTTACCTTAGGGTTCACTCTTGGTGTTGTATGTTCTACGGGTTTGGACAAATGTATAGTGACATGTATCCTTCATTATGGCATCGTACAGAGTATTTTAACTGCCTTAAAAATCCTCTGTGCCCTCCCTATTCATCTCCCCCCCCAACCCCTTGGCAACCACTGGTCTTTTTACTGTCTCCATAATTTTGTCTTTTCTAGAATGTCATATAGTTGGGATCAAATAGTACATAGCCATTTCAGATTGGCTTCTTTCACTTACTAATGTGCATTTAGGCTTCCTCCATATCTTTTCATGCTTGATAGCTTATTTCTTTTTAGGGCTGAATAATATTCCATTGTCTGAATGTACCACAGTATATTTATTTTCTGTGGTACATATTTATATTCTGTGGTAGATATTTATAATATTCGCCTACTGAAGGACATCTTGGTTGCTTCCAAGATTTGGCAATTATGAATAAAGTTGCTATAAACATCCATGTGCAGGTTTTTGTGTGGACATACATTTTCAACTCTTTTGGGTAAATACCAAGAATCACAATTGCTGGATCATATAAGAGTATATTTATTTTTGTAAGAAATTGCCAAACTGTCTTCCAAAAGTGGATGTACCATTTTGCATTCCTACCAGCAATGAATGAGGGTTCCTTTTGCTCAACATCCTGTTCAGCATTTGGTGTTGTTGGAGTTCTGGATTTTGGCCCTTCTACTAGGTGTGATTTCCTTCTTTTCTAAGGCTGAATTTTATATATATCACATTTTCTTTATCCATTCATCTGTCGAGGTACACTTTGGTTGATTCCATAACTTGGTTGTTGTGTATAATGCTGCAAGGAACATGGGAGTACAGATATGTCTTCGAGGTACTGATTTCATTTCCATTGGATATATACCCAGAAGTGCGATTGCTGGATCTTATGATAGTTCTTTTTTTAAGTTCTTGAGGAATCTCCATACTGTTTTCCACGTGGCTGTGCCAATAGAAATATGTGACTTTTTTTTTAACTCAAGAGTTTAAGATTTGTTGCACCTAGTTTCCAAACGTATGGGATTTATGGAAGCTATCCTTTTGTTAAAATTTCTAACTTTATTGTAAAATGGTAGGATACATAGTTTGTGTGCTATTGATTTTTTGGAATTTATTGAAGTTTCTTTGAGACTCGATTCATGACCTATTTCTGTAACAGTTTCAAGTGTGCTTGAAAAGAATCTGTTTTTCTCCATGGCTTAATTTCCACATCTGTAAAACAGGAAGAACCAAAAATATCCAACTCCTTTGATTTTTGTTTTGAAGGTTGTAAAACCAAACACCAAACTGAAAGACAGAAAAACACTACACTTGTTCTCTCTCTCTCTTTTTTTGTTTTGGTGAGGAAGATTAGCCCTGAGCTAACATCTGTGGCCAATCCTTCTCTTTTTTTTTACTGAGGAAGATTGGCCCTGGGCTAACACCCGTGCCCATCTTCCTCTACTTTATATGTGGGAGGCCCGCCACAGCATGGCTTGATAAGCAGTGCATAGGCCCGCGCCCAGGATCCAAACCTGCAAACCCTGGGGGTCCAAAGCAGAGCATGCTAACTTAACCACTATACCACTGGGCTGGCCCCTATGCTTGTTCTCTTTGACTCTTTCTTTTGCAGACTCACAATGGGTATATCTTGACACAAGTAAATGTGGTGGGGAGAGAGAAAAAGGAAAATATCTGTCCTTCCTAAAAATGGATTTATTACCACTGGGTAACAGGTGCTTAATCCTCCGTGGGGGCACAATTCCAGCCTACAGAGAGGGACTGGACAGAGTGGAGGCGTGACCATCTGTGATAGTGATTCTGATCTGTCTTTGATTCTCTCGGGGCTTGCTGGCCTTAGATATTTATATAAGTGAGGCTGAATCTTTGGTGTGCTGCTCAGATGTGTCGTTGTATGCTAGCCCGGGGTGGTGGACCTCCAGCAACCTGACCGATGGCAGCTGGCTAGCCAATCAGAAACCCAGCATGGTTGCTTAGGAGGCAGCATGGATGTGCATCTAAATTTGCCAAAGGAAGAAGAATTTCATGGTCAAGAGCTTCACCCGTAGATTTAAGTCAGATCCTTAATAGCCAACCTCTCAGGTTGTTCACCATTAGAACTCCATGCCTCTCAGCTCCTGCACTAACTCTTCTCATGCTGTCTCTCACTCTCTTGTCTTCTCTTCTGTGAACTGTCATGGAACACACTGTTGGCTCTCTACCTCCTCCTGGACATCATCAATGTCTTCTTCTATTTTCCAGGAGATCGCAAGCATTTTTAAATACAGCGAGTCATCAAGAAGTGCTTTAAATTAGGTAGTTTTACATGGCTGGCTATTTTCTGTGCTACTTGTTTCAACTTTACTATATGTTTAAGAATTATCAAAGTTTACAGTTGGAAAAAATACACTTGTTTTTCCTCCCCTAAAAGTCTGTAACCTCCGCTATTGGTAGTATCGCAAGAGGTCTGCACTTTATCTGGAGGAAGACAGAGAATGTTGCCAACACTCGTTTACATACAGAAGGGCAATCTCGCCCAGGAGAGGACAGCAATTCCAAAACAAAAGAAGAGGGAGAGAGTGAAGAGAGTACCTGGAACTCAAAAGTACCAAGAGTAAGAGGTGGCACCAGAATGATTTGCAAATATTTTGGCTGTCATAAGAACAAGAGACTCTTACCGTGCAGGGCTGTGTGGTGTACTGTGTACTGGAAAGCGCATGAAATCAGAGGAAACTGGTTAGAATTCAGGTTTTGCTATGTATTAGCTGTCAGATTTTGGCTAAGACACTTGACCACTTTGATTCAGTCTTCACATATGTAAAATGCTAATCATAATAATAATACTTGCCATCCATATAAAAATATTGTCACTGCTGTTATAGTAAAATGGTATATTGGCATAGTAACACTTTAAACTGTTTACAAAAATTCAAAGGTTTTGAGGAGGGAGGTCTAGAATTGCTCTCCATTGATTTGCTTACCAAGATATTTGCATCTTCACTAGTTTCATCACTGTTGATGATGAAACATCAACACCACTAGAGGTGTTGGTTGTGAAAACCTCTATAGAAATAATGATATTTGAGGGTTTTTGTTACTGAGGGTTACTATTACTGTCAACCAGCTTTTAGCAGGCGAATGACTTTCTGTATATATCACCCAATTGATTTAAAAGTGAATCAATGAATATTTATTGATTGTCTCATTTCATAAAGAAATTTGAGGAAGGACCCTCAATTTGACATTATTTTATCTCTCTATATTTGGATCTTGCACTTGTCTTGCCTTCCAAATTAAAAATGTGGTGAACTCAGCAGATCGGCTCCCAGTATTAGACTACCTCTCTCTTTTTAGCATGTCTTTCCGTGCTTCAGAAGCTGGAAAACTCCAAACTCACACACCCTTGCTGCTGATGTTCTGCATGTGAATTAGGGTTCACCAATTGCATGCATCAGAGTAAGATTTGCAGATGCTGGGTTTTTTTGTTTTTTTTGTGAGGAAGATCAGCCCTGAGCTAACATCCGTGCTAACCCTCTTTTTGCTGAGGAAGACCGGCTCTGAGCTAACATCTATTGCCAAACCTCCTCCTTTTTTTTTTTCCCCCCAAAGCCCCAGTAGACAGCTGTATGTCATAGTTGCACATCCTTCTAGTTGCTGTATGTGGGACGCGGCCTCAACATGGCTGGAGAAGCGGTGCGTCGGTGAGCGCCCGGGATCCGAACCCCCGGCTGCCAGTAGCAGCGCGCGCACACTTAACCGCTAAGCCACAGGGCCGGCCCTGCAGATGCCGTTTTGATGCTGCTGGCAAATACAGCTGTGGAGACCTTGTTTTTTCTGCAGGAGCATTCCAATGTCCAGTCACTTGCTCTGTCAGTGTTGAGAAAAGGTTGGGACTGTGGAGTGGTGGCTTCCTGACTCCAACTTCCTGATTACGGCCAGGAGCCAGTTTGGCAGTGCTGTTTAGGGAGTCATCCTTGGATGCCCAGACCTTTTCCAGCCTGTCCAATGACTGTGAATGTCCCCAATTTCCTATGGCAAATCCCTTTCTGTCTAGAGCAGCTAGCTGATTGCTGCAACTGAATTCTGACTGATTGACTTGTAAACTATTTACAGGCAGGCACACTGTGATATAAAGAAATGACCTTGCATTTTAGTGAAGGGAAACAGATGATAAATAAATGATTAAGTAAAAGTTTTAGTAAGATGGCGATACATACTACAGACAAAAATAAAGCTGGAAAAGGGGAAGGAGACTGCAGGAAATGAATGCGAGTGTGTTGCAATTTTAAATAGAGGGGTCATGGAAGGCTTCACTGATTAAGGTGACTTTTGAAATCTGACTATCTATTATGCCAATTGTGTGCAAGGTACTGGTAGAGTTACTGTGTTAAAAAGCAATCATCCAATCACTCCTTTGCTTAGATAACCCCCTAAGTGATGCAACTATTTTCCATCTCCAGGCAGCTATATCGTTTACCCACAGCAAACATGGCGGAAAGGGCGTCAGTCTGACACTTGGGCCCCCAATAAAGATGGCTACAGCACTTCCTGTGTTTGCCCTCAACAAAGATGGCGACGATACTTCCTGTTCAGGGCTTTCGCCTTAAACAAAGATGGCGCTTATGGTACAGGTTCCCTAACAGTCTGGATTCCGGTTGCAGTTTTTTTTTTTTTTTCCTAAGATACGTGTTTGCAGACGTAAGTAACAGGAATCCAGAAACCCCGTATCCATCTTTTCTTCAAGGTCCCGCGCCGTGGCGTCTGCAGCCTGGGCCCTGCTTGGCTCCCCCGCCCCCCCTAACTTGCTGGCGGCGTTCTAGAGCCGGCCCGGGGTGGGGTGGCGGTGGGGGTGCCGGGGATCCACTCTGCCCTCGGTCCGCTCTGAAGATCATTCCCAGCACCCCCTTTTTAGCGAGTCAGGTTGCCCGGAAAGTCTCTCCTAGTTCTTCCTCTTCGCAATACAAGAGGGCTTCAGCTGGCGAGGCAGGGAATAAAGAGAAATTCCAAATGGGCGCTAGCAGTCCAAAGTGCGCATCCTCCTCCTCCCCTGCCACCTCCCGGACTTCACAGAGGGTGCTAGGAGGGACAGGGGCGGGGGGCGCAGGCCGTGATTGTACTTTGCAGGCGTCTGGAAGCCCCGTCTGCCGTCGCTGCCTCCCCTTATTTACCCTCATAGCCACGACACCCCCGCCCCTCAGCTCCCTGGTGCAGTGGTCTTGGAAATACGCCGGGCAGTCCTGCCTGGCCACTGACCGGGACTGGCCTGTGGACTTTTTTTTTTTTAAAGAAAAAAAATCCCATTCAGTAACCCATATGTGTGTGGCCACGGCAGTGTTGTGATAGAGATTCTGAATTCTTAGAGGGAAGGGATGGAGTCTGTGACTATGTATAAGGTTTATTGTAGACTGGGCACAAACACTTACTAGTAAATGTTTTTCGTGATGGTGTATAGGCCTTTTCTCATGGGGGGAAAGATCCTTCAACTTCTTGGTACCTGCAGGCTTCTGGCCCCACTCCCATTGCTGATCAGGTTCTAAAAATGCCCGTGGTCCAAAGGGCACCTGTATGCGTACTGGCAATTTCTGTGGTGGTGGGGTATCTCTGATGAAGGCAATGTTAAAATAAAAGCACTGTTTCTTCTCAAGTGTGTTAAGATGAAATGCTGCTCTGTAATCCTCAGATACAAGTTGTTTTATAAGCAGGGTCTCTGACCTCGCGTTTTTCCAGATCTCTTTATTGAGCAAGGAATTGAGCTAGGACCCATTATGTGGTAAGCAAAAACAGAAAAGATAATTCATGTTCAGTGTTGTTCATTATGTTTAGAAACATTTGAAATTAATTTGGCTTGGCTCAAGAGCCGTGTATGAAACACCGTGGCCTGGCCCTCTGCTAAGGTTCAAAGATATCCATGACCTTAAGGAGCATACACTGCAGGACCCCATCTGTAGGGGCTCAACAGCATTCCTGTAATCTGAGCTGTGGATTTTGTCTTTTCCCAGGAGGAAATGGAGGCTAGAGACAAGCAAGTGCTGCGCTCCCATCGCCTGGAGCTGGGTGCAGAGGTACTGGTGGAGGGCCTGGTTCTTCAGTATCTTTACCAGGAAGGGGTCTTGACGGAAAACCACGTTCAAGAAATCAAAGCTCAAGCCACAGGCCTCCGGAAAACAATGCTGCTGCTGGATATCCTACCTTCCAGAGGTCCTAAAGCATTTGATGCGTTCCTAGATTCCCTGCAGGAATTTCCCTGGGTGAGGGAGAAGCTGGAGAAGGCAAGAGAAGAAGCCCTAACTGAGCTGCCTGCAGGTAGGCCTCAAAAAGATCACTTCAGACCAGCTCCAGAATTGATGGAACTATGTCCTTTGGATTTGAAGTTGGGGTTTTAGGCTGGGAGGGGGATGGCGTTTCCTGAAAGTGGATAAGGAGTTTGGACTGAAGGCACGTGGCATTGGAGGGACGGGATGAGGAGGTGGAATTAGGAAGTGCAGGGAAGGAAGGAAGGATGAACCATGATTGAGAGGGTCAGGAGGGAGCTCAGAGAATACATTTAGAAATGCTTCCAGGGAAACTTGGCAAGTCACTTGGGAGGCATGTTCTCATCCAAGAGCCAGGTCGTTGGCATCAGGACCATTGGAAAGTGCAGATGGGAAAGCAGGCATTAGGCCTACTGATAACTGGTTCATGGGGTGCCAGAGCTGCCGGCAAGAAGAGGTCAGGTTCATAGAGGAGGAGACAGCCTTTAGGAAGGCACACCTTACACCTGTTCCTTGGGCTGCCCTCCATGGCTAGAGGGGATAATTTGGAAGGCTGGCTTAGTTTGCTTTTAAAGGTTATTGGTTTCAAGTCCTTTTTAGTTTGGCTTTCTTCAGACACCCGGAGTATTTAGTTTTGTAAGGACAGTAGTTTGAGGAGGGGCTCATTTTGATTTTAAGGAAAATTGGAAGCTATGGAAAAGAGAGTTCTAGTGCTGTTAGCCTGGCTTGTAACAGGAAGAAGATATGATATGAAACACTTGTTCCCTCTTAACTCCTCCCATGACTTTTCCTTTTTACAAAGATTAAGGAGCAGAGAACTGAATTGGTGAAAAAAAAATTGAAAGTTGACTTGCGTGTTTAACAGATTTAGGAAATCAACGTTCTCTGGAGTTTTTGATAGCAAACTACTATCACTACTATCACTACTATCAAACTAGTAGTTTGATAAACTACTCCAAGTCAGTGGTCTCCCGACTTTGCTGTTGCTGTTTTTTAAATACCAATATAACTGGTTAAAAAACAAATACCAGTAATAAAAGACCACCTTTATTATTTTTGCCCCATGGACCTCATATTCTGATTGATTTTCCAGACCACCTGTGTTAAGTAATCCTGATTAATTCTTCTATTTTTATTAATGACATATGTCTGAATATCTGATCAGCATAAGATAACCAGTTATTTTCATTTCCCCTTGTGGCCAAATTATAGGTAAATGTAGGTTTTAGGCTTTTGTGAAATACTGAAAATAGCTGGCCTTTGAGGACCACAGGAATTCTTGGGTTGGATTGTCTTTACAAAATTAAATACTCCAGGTGTGTGAATAAAGCTAAGCTAAAGTATCTAAGACACTTCTACCAGTTTATTGAAAGCAGAATAAATAACATTGAATTGGGGAGATGTTAAGAGAAATATTAGGGTGCCCAGTGTCTTTTGCTGGTATTTGACTTAGAGATTCCTCTTGGCAACACACAGTTGGAAACAACAGAACAGGCAAACTAAAAGGCTGTTTCTACCAAAATATTTAATGTCATTTTATAATCGTTTTGAGTGATGTAAATAGTACTGTTGTATGTTGTTCATAGAGGCGTGACCCCATTTTCGTTTGTTCAGCTTCATTCAGAGAACAAGAAAAAAATTAAGATTTTTTTACCAACTGGTGAAAGTTACAGAGAAGTTGAGGGAAAGATAGTTTTTTTCAAAGTAAGCAGAATGAAACAGTATAGAGTGGGAAAAAATTGAGCGTATCTGTGTTGAAGTTTAGAAAAATAGCGTTAATTTGTTAATTCTGTGGAAGTGCTCAAATGGAGCGATAGGTTGGCTACTGTACAAATTAAGTGCTCTTATTGTTTTCCTTTTTGTTGAGTAACCTGCTACTGAAAAGAATGTTCTGAAGAGAGAGTTTGATTTATATATGTCTTTATATATACATTCCACAATGACAGTTAGATAAACTCACTTTTTAAATAGTTTTTGTTAATTATTGAATATTTTAAGTAAGATTACAAAATGTAAGTAAGGTGTGGAGAATAATGGTACAGTGAACACCTGACTCTCCATCACTCAGTTAAAAAAAAAAATATTACCATTGCTTTTGAGGGCCCTTGGGTGCTCCTCCCCAATTCTAGCTCATCCCCAGCCCCCACTCACTGATAAACTCTAAATTTGGAGTCTGTCATTCCTTTCTTCACTTTGTGGTTTTCCATCTCATAAAAATCACTTTTAAAATTCACATCTTTTGTCGAAAATCCGCTATACTGTTAAGTTTCAGCGATATATATATATGGCGGGGAGGGAGGGTAAGCAATGCAGGAAATGATATATTTTAAAGGAGTTGTTAGTTAACAGCCTTCTCTTATTTGAGACCTTAAACTTTATTCAGGTGTTTAAATTAATTAAGTTGATGGCAGTATCTTAATTCTAAAATTAAATTGGGACTTAATTAATTGGAAACCTAATTTTTTTTGGGAAATCCTGGAAAGAGTATTAGAATTGAAATGCCTTCAATTTACTGTCCCTGTAAAAACTGCAAACGGACCCAGAGGCGTATTTCCCAGGACCCCAGTGCTTCTCCAGTGTTGTAAAAGAGTAACTTTAATAAGCTCTTAAATAGTCCATTTAAATTTTTGTCAAGGCGTTTTTGAATTTTGAGGAACTAGACCGTGGGAAAATGTGGTGCTTATATATGTCTATGTATACATTAACCTCTTCTGACCTTTTACTCATTTTGGTTGTAATTATTAATTAATTTGTATAGATTTGGTGGTCTGCTCTTGGGATGCCTTGAGAACAAATGGAGAGGAAGGGCTTTCTCTTTGGCCAAGAGGTCAATCCTTCTCCAAGAATGAACTGATTTTATTACCAAGTTTTCTTGTTTTGATCTTCTCAGAGGTTCTTGGTTTCCCTTTTGTTTGTTTGTTTAATTTTTATGTTTCATTTATAAATTTTGAGCTGCCTTAAAAGCCTTATTTGGTGATTGATCCTAGTTAGTTGCTTTTTATTTATAATCTGGATGTAATTTTTAGAGAAGAATTGAGTTATATCTTGATGCTCTCTACTCTTCTAAACCCCACCCCCAGCAAATTCCAAAGCATAAACACTTTAAACCTTTGATTCTCTCAGAATCTGCCTAGATGACTGGTCTCCCTATCTCTGTTAAAAAAAAAAAAAAAAAAAAGTCTAAGATATTAATGGATAATTGATTTTGTGTTTTTCTCACCCTATAAGGACTCTTATATTTTAAAAGAAGAATTCTGGCGATAAAATGACTTAATCCTGCTTGGCACCATGGAAGGAACACTTCTCGGTGTGTCCCTTACTGGCCAAGGTCACATAGTAGACCCTAGATGGGCTGGAGAGCCTCTCTGGGCTCCTGGCAGCTCATTTAGGAGATGAGGATAGTGCTGAATCTGGGCGAAGGCAGCATGTGCCTGCCCGCCTGGCTTCCCGCTTCTGCTGGGCCCTGTCAGCACTGACAGGCTCACTCACAGCTGGTGGGATTTAGCCTAAGTCATGCTGGGAGGGACTCCTGGGCCCCGGGACTGCCTGTTCCACTGTGTTGGCCCTGGCTGTGGACTGGGTCTCTGCCATGACTCTCACTTAACAGCCTGGCAACGCTGCCTTTAACCCCACTCTTCCTTTAGGCCTGGAAGTTGGTTTTTGTTTTCTGTTTCTCCTCCTCTCTAAGCTAGATTCCTGCTTTATATTCTCTTCGCCACTGGCAGGGATGAAGGACAGATATCTTGGAACACAGCTCATCACCTCCTGCGTTAGCATCAGATGCCTCAACTCATTAGCCTGCTGGAGTGGCTGTCCTGGGGCTGATATTTGCTTCAGCCTTCCCTGAGCTTGAGCTGGTCTTCACCGTGGACTCTATGCCCTGGACTCCATGGCTGCCCTCGCTGGAGCAGGACTCAGGCTGGCCTGTTTTCCCTCTACCCATGGGCTCCAAGGCTCAGCTTGTCCCTTTTGGAGCTGGACTTCCCTGACCATACAGAGCCACATCAGTCACTGTCTCAAGATGCACTCTGACTCTCAGATGTATACTTGGATGCATCTGAAGTAAGTGAGCAATTTGTTGGTGATGCCCTCAAGTCAATCCCGACTCCTAGCGCCCCTGTGCACAGCAGAGCAGAACACTGCCCGGTCTTTTTGCACCATCCTCTCACCTTATGGTGCTATATCAAACAATGATCCCTTGCTATTCATAGGGTTTTTATGGCCAATTTTTGGAAGTGGATGGCCAGGTCCTTCTTCCTAGTCTCTGTGACCTGGGTGACTAAGACACCCTGTCCACCGTGGGTGACCCTGTTGGTATTTGAAATACCGGTGGCATAGCTGTCATCACAGCAACATGCAGCCACTATAGTATGACAGCCGACAGACGGGTGGTGTGGTTCCCTGACTGGGAAATGAACCCCGGGCCAGGTGGTGAGAGCGCCGAATCTTAACCATTAGACCACCAGGGCTGGCCTCCTGAGCAATAATGGCAAAAATTTTAGGTATTGTAATAGGTTTATTAGAAAGATTTTTAGCCTGGGATTTCCCAGTCATACCTTGTAATTGACCCTACTCTACATATGGTAAGTTCAGTGTTGATCTCAGTTTATCTAACTTGTGGTCTATCCAGGCACTTCCACTGTGACTGAGCAGAGTTCACTTTGTGGCATCCTGTGTACTAGAGAGGGAATGGTGGGTCAGCGTCCACAGCCAGACCCTTCCTTATAGTAAGGGCAGAGTCTACAGAGAGCCCAGATTTCTGTGAATCCCCAGCATGATTATCATACACGTCCTGAAGACCAACCAGATGCCAAGCACTAGGAAATAAAGACATATGAAGGACCTCCAGATCAACTGAGGAGGTTCATTCGTTCATTCAACGAATATTGAGTATTGACATTGTGCCAGACATTAGGTACTGGGATATTATAGTAAACAAAGCCCCTGCTCTTATGAGCTCACTGACTATTCTATAGTCTGGTGGGGACAGGCACCGAGCAAATGAATAAATAGTACATTAGGTGTTGAGGAAGGGCTTAGCATATTATGCGGGGTGGTCGGAGAAGGGCTTTCGGATGAGGGGACGTTGAGCAGAGAGCTGAATTCTGCAACAGAGTGGATCATGGAGGAAGAGCATTTTGGGTAGAGGGGACCACAGTGCAAAGGAACTCAAGAGGGGGCCCCCAGCGACAGTGTGCCCAGAGCCCAGGCCCATCTGGGACAAGAACCTTCCTCACGGAGAGATGAGTCTCAGTGCCCATCAGCACAGGCGCAGTTGTGACCATTTCTGGTTGCTTCCGAAACTGTGAGATGTGTGCACAGCCGTGATCGTGGGTTGTTTTTCAAATGATTTTAGATGATATGCAGACGTGGAATTGCAGTACATGGTGAGAATTATTTCCTTTTCTTTCTGTTTCAATCCTGATAACATCCAGGTGAAAGCCTCTGTTCAGTGCAAGTATTTCTGTAACATCTCTTTTGACACTTACCAGTTTTTCTTTTCAGTAGACAGAAAGATGCTC